GTGGGTCCAGGAGTCTGTGGGTCCAGGAGTCTGTGGGTCCAGGAGTCCGTGGGTCCAGGAGTCTGTGGGGCCAGGAGTCCATCGTGGGTCTTCTTCCTCCCTCTTCCACGGTTCTGAAGGTTCTCCGTACTCCAGACCCAGAGGAACAGGCACAGATGCAGGAGGTCCCCGTTCCTGGCTGAGACCCGAGAGGTCCTTCATTTGAAGGAATGGAGGCGAGAAGGAAAACCAGACCCGGGGTCCTCATTTGGACCCCCGCTCCTCCAGCCCAGAACTCATCAGAGGACTCCTGCGAGGACGAAGATGATTTCTTCACCCAGATGGACGAGAACGGCATCATCGGACTGTCGGAGGACCTGGAGGAGGTGGAGTTGGGTCACCATGAACGTGAACCACCTGAGAGTCCAGAACCTGGCGGCCCACAGGAAGTGGACCTGGTCCAAGGTTCGGTAGAAAAACCAGCTGACGGTCTGAGCTTCGACGTGAGGAAATCAAGAGAGGACCGAGTTCTGCCGACCCGTCAGTGCTGGGTTAACTTTTTATTTATCCCTGAAAACAGTCGATGATTATAATTTTTATATTTTTCATCAGAAAACTTTAAATAAAAAAACATTTAGATTTTTAAACATAAAACAAAAGGTTGTTTTATGTTTTTGTTTTATTCTGAGTTCTTAAGTTAAGATTTGTTTTATGTGACATTACAGAAGAGCAGAAAGATGCTTTTATGATTTATTTATTTTCAATGAAAGCTTGAATTTGTTTGATCTGCTCTTTGAAGTTTTAAATATTGGTTTAGAATAAAATTTTATTCATTAAATGAAAAGCTGTAAGGTGTTGAAGGACGTGCTTAAACAAACGGGAGTTTTTACTTTTCGTAACTTCTCGTCTTCGACAGGTCACGACATGAAAGTCGGGTCTAAAGTGGACCAGAGGGCGGAGCTCCGTCCTGGAAGAGACCCGGCAGAAGATCAGGAGGAGCTCGTTCGGACGTCGGGTTCACCTCCGAGAGATAAATTCCCTCCTGAAGTCTCCCACTGTCCCCGCTCGGTGTCCCAGTCGTGCTTCCTGCCTCACCGTTGTCCCTTCTCTGCCGACGAGCTGGCTGCAGCTCCGGGAATCGACGCAGAAACCCTCCCGGACGTCTCAGAAAGTCTCCCTGACTCTCTCAGCAGCCGAACGAGCTCGAAGTCCAGCCCTCGCCGTTTGGAGACGACACTCGGGGATTCTCCTCATCGTCATAAACCGTCGGGTTACGGTCCGACAGACGGAGAGGAGAGGCCTCAGGAGGAGCCTCGACCTTCGCTGAGGACACATGAAGCTGAGCGTTCAAGAGCGTCCACCGGAGGATCCGAGACCGACTCGCCAAAACCCGAACAGAACCAGAGTCAGAAAACTTCAAGGATTCCTCGACTCCGAAACGATGCAGCTGAAGGGGAGGGATTCAGGTAAACCATCGGCACCACATCAGTTTGACAGAAAATTAGCTAAACTTTGACGTGGTAGTAGCTGAGAGTCATCCTCGGCTCATATCGAGCGCTAACAGAGTCTAACGTAACATGTAACATGTTGCATGTAACATGTTACATGTTACATGCAACATGTCTGCGTTTTTAGCTGCAACTCCACCGCGTCTCATCTTGAGGTTAGCTTAGTTGAAAGATGGCGGCTGACGTCCGTCCCGTCAAGGACTTTAACCGACTCTTCTGTTTTCAGACGAGGATCTCCGAGTCGTCAAACGCCGGACTTCTCTAAAGTTGAACCGAGGGTTTGTTTCCCCAGACGTGGCTACAACCCCCCCAGGAGTAAACAACCGCTAACAAGGACGATGCCCGAGCCGCCGATGGCGTTCAAATCCCCGGCTGACATCGTCAATGAAGTCCTGTTCAACACCGACGGATCCTCGACGTCGTCAGGGTCCCCGACCCACGCCGCCAACTTCACCGTCCCTCCAGAGTTCAGATGTCGGCAGCAGGCCTCCACCCTCCTCCAACAGCTGCAGGTTTCACCAAAACAACCACCCGAAGAGTTACATTTTCAGCCGAAGTGCTGCGTGAGAGCTGAAAGCTGCTTCAACTGTTATTACAGCTAAAAGTAGCAGAACGCTCAGTAAAAGCTAAATGAAGCGAAGGGATAGCTACATGTGCTACATGGTTGGCCAACAGTAACAAAAGCAGATTAACTGAAAGCTAAAGTTAGCAAAAGGCAAGCTAAAGTACAAAAAGCTAGCTAAAAGGTAAAAGTAGCAAAACGTTATGCAAAACTAGACAAAGACAAATGTCTGGTGAACAAATGCAAAAGACTAGAACTAGCAAAAAGCTAGTTAAGAGCACAAATTGGTTAACTACAAGTAGATGAAGGCTAGTTAATAGCTGGGTGGGGGTGGACACTAGCTAAAAATACCAAAAGGCTAGCTACAAGGTTAAAGTAGCAAAATTTACTTAAAAGATAAAATTAGCATCAGAAAAATAAAGCTAGGTAAAATTAGCAAAAGGCTAGTTAGTAGCTAAAAAAGGGGGGAAAGCTAGCTAAAAATACCAAAAGGCTAGCTACAAGGTAAAAGCAAAAATGTATTTAAAAGAAAATTAGCAAAAGAAAAATCAAGCTAGGTAGAATGAGCAAAATGTTAGTTAAACAAAGCAAAATGTTAATGTCTAAAAATAGAATAAAGCTAAAAACTTAAACACAAAGCTAGTTAAAGCAAATATTTACATTAAAAAGTAGCAAAAGGCTAGCAGAATGGTAGCTAAAAGAAGCGGAGCAGTCACTAAAAGCTAAATGTAGCCTAACGAGACACGAAGTGTGCTGACGATTTTAAAGAGAACGATGTTTCTGAAGGAACTGAAGAGAAAATATTTTAAATCAAATTTTAATGTATAAAAGTTACGTCAACCAAAACGCAGCTGCTAAACGAGCCGAACGTTTTGATATAAGAACGGCTAAAACTGCACATCCTGCAGAAGTAAAACGCAGTCATGCTGATGAGATAACATCAAATATCGCTGCAGCTTCAAGTTTATCAGCACCGAAGAGGTCCGAACGGTTCCAGCGAGCTCGCCTCCTGGCGTCCACACATTCATCTTGTTCCTGTTTCCTCTGGCTGCAGGACGACTACAGCAGACTGCTGACGAAGTACGCCGAGGCCGAGAACACCATCGATCGTCTGCGTCTGGAAGCCAAGGTAGTTCATCTCAAGATCCAAACAGAACCGTTCGCTGCGGTGCTGAGCATCGGAGCAGAACCTGAAGCAACACGACTGTAACTGGCAGCTTCATTTATCACCGACCTCATCGTCAGGTCACCAAACTGCTGCAAAACCACGGCTTTAAAGAACAACAGTAACTCTGTGGGTTTATTTTGTACGGAAAGACTGAATTTATTTAAAAAGAAAAATAAGTACAGGTTGAGTTTCATACACTTTGTTCTCATCGCAAACCAAAACAAGTTGTTTATGATCAGATCTCAGCTCCTCATAAAGCAAATAAACAAACATTGAACTCGTCTTTTCTATTTAATATTATTTCAGCACGACGACTAATTATATGGTGAATAACTTGAAACATCTTGGACAGAAAGAAAAGCGTAAAAAAGAACAAGAATAAGAATCGTACTGCGCTTCAGGCCCCATCGTTCATTTGTGCTTTCAAAAGATAAAAGTTGTTTCCAGAATTTTACAGATAAATACTGAACAAGAAAACAACATTAAAACTTCTCTTTTCCTGCTATTTGACGGACGGATGGACGGATGGATGAATGGATTGATGGATGGATGGATGGATGCTGAGCATACAGATGGATGGATGGATGGATGGATGGATGGATGGATGGATTGATGAATGGATGCTGAGCATACAGATTGATTGATGGATGGATGCTGAGCATACAGATGGATGGATGGATTTATGGATGG